TTATCTAAAAAAAAATTTTTTTAAGTTTATTTTGAGAGAGAATACAAGTGGAGAGGGGGCAGAGAGAGAGAGGGAGACAGAGGATCCAAAGTGAGCTCTGTGCTGACAATAGAGAGCCTGATGTGGGGCTCAAACTCACAAACCGTGAGATCATGACCTGAACTAAAGTCAGATACTTAACACTAAGGCTCTTTTTATTTTATGTAATATTTTTAAATGTCATATTTTATATTATAAATATGCATTATAATATTATAAATATTATATAATATAAATATGTGCATAATATTTACCCTAATAAAATGTGATTTATAACAAATTTGGACACTACCTTAAAATAATAATTAATCTACAGTGTGCCTGGGTGGCTAAGTCAGTTAAGCATCCGACTTCAGCTCAGGTCATGATTTCACAGTTCGTGGGTTCGAGCCCCGCGTCCGGTTCTGTGCTGACAGCTCAGAGCTTGGAGCCTGCTTCAGATTCTGTGTCTCCCTCTCTCTCTGCCCCTCCCCTACTCATGTTCTCTGTGTCAAAAATAAATTAAAAAACATTAAAAAAAATTTTTTTAATAATAATTAATCTACACTAGAGATTTCTAAAAACCTAACAACCTAACAAAATATAGTTGACTCTTGAACAACATGGGGTTAGGGATGCCACCACCCCATGCAGTAAAAAATCTGAATATAACTTTTGGCTCCCGAAAAACTTATGCTTACAATAAAGTTAGAAAAAAGAAAACATTATTAAGAAAATCATAAGAGAAAATACATTTATAGTCCTGTCCTGTACTTCTAAAAAAAAAAAATCCACATATAAGTGGATCCATGCAGTTCAAACCTGTGTTGTTCAAGGTTCAAAACTGTAATGATAAAGGGATTAGCAGCTTTCCGTGGGTTTTACATGAATTGGTGTGAAAAGTGTATTTTGAAAAGACTGTTGCCATATTCCCCTGAGGAGATAAATACTCTTCTTTCTGCCAAACTGTGACTATATGTGCATGTCCATGAATGTTATGGTCATGTTCTGAGATAGGACTATTAGTGGGGCTTCCAAGGAGAATGCTTAGCCTATTGGGTCAGAGGGTTAGTTCTGCCTGGAGGGAGTGGTCATCTCAGTGTTGACTGGCTGGGGAAGTGCCAGTGACTTCTATAAGCTGAACCAGACAGGTGGCTTGGTGTCTTTTTTGATTTGGACCTTAAGTATGTTCCAGTGTTCCAGGGGAGGGGTCCTCAGGGGCACTAAGGCCATGTGCAGGCAGACTGGGGCTGGACAGACAGAGACCCAGACAAATCTCTTCCCCAGGATATCATGTCTTGTGGGACAAAACTAGGCCTCTGAGCCCTGGACAGAAAAACTACATGCTGGCAGCTGATGTTGTGCTCACTCTCTTTGGTCATCTCCTAGCTTTCCATAAAGTCTTTCTGAACTTTCTGGCTGCTCTCAGCTCCGTGATGAGATGTTTGAGCCAGTGTGGGAGGAGAGCGGGACCCTGTTAAAGCTTGAGAAAAACATTCCTTTGGATTGAAGGGGAGAGTGTATAAAATGAGTGGCAGACTGCAAAGATGGTTAAAGAGAGCACCTGGAAGATACTGACAGCTTGGCTACGGAGTATCTGTTCCACAGGTGCTGGGACTGAGGGTGGGGAGTGGCTTGAGTGTGGGCAATGAGTGACCTGATTAGACAGGCCAGGGAAGACTGGAGGAGGAAAGACAGGCAGAAGACCAATTAAAAGAGGGCTTCTGAGCTCTGGCACTCATGACATCTGGGCTGGTTAATTCTTTGCCCTAGAGACTGTCCTGTGAGATGCATTGTAGGATGATGCACAACATCCTTGGCCTGTACCCACTAGATGCCAGTGGGTGCACTCTTCTACCATTTCTGCCAAGTAAAACTGTTTCCAGATATTACCAAATGCTCCCACAGGGGCAAAACTGCACATTCCCCCAACCCCTGTTGAGAGGTAGGGTTAAAAGCAGTCATGTTCATTGATAGGGACTGGTTAAGTAAATGATGATACAAACAATGAGGCAAAACAAAAACAAAAACAAAAACACAACAATGAGGCAGACTTATTTTTGCTGATACTGAGGATATATAATAGGACAAAACAAAATGCAACACTAGTTGCACTTGAACCTTGAACAACACTAGTTTGAAATGCTTGGGTCCACTTATATATGAGTTTTTGTTTTTGTTTTTGTTTTTTAATAAATATGGAAGAGTACTATAAAGGTATTATCTCTTCCTTGTGACTTCTTTAAAAAAAGGAAATCTTACTTTATTGTAAGAACACAGTATATAATACATATATATAGCATACAAAATATGTGTGACTTGACTGTTTAAGTTATCATTAAGGCTTCAGTTTAACAATAGGGTATTAGTAGTTAAGTTTTTGGGAAGTCAAAAGCTAGACTTGAATTTTTTACTGCATGGAAGGTCGGCATCCCCAGACCCTCCATTGTTCAAGTGTCAACTAAGTATGTAGTCCAAGCTACCATATGTTAAAAAAAAAAAAAAAAAAAAAAAAAAAAAGGGCAACAAAGCTTTGTATATGCATATAATCTCTCTAGAAGTACACTCAATAAAGTGGTAGGGTATTGCTTTTATTTATTTTTTTTTAATATTTTATTTAATCTTTAAACCCAGTGTGGGGCTTGAACCCACGACCTCAAGATCAAGAGTTGCATGCTCTACTGACTGAGCCAGCCAGGTGCCCCAGGTGGTTGCTTTTAGATGGGAGTCCCAGGGAACAGGATAGGACAAGGCTGGGAGAGGGACTTTTCACTCTAGACCAGTGATTCTCAACTGGGGGCAATACTCCTCTTCCTTGGGGACATGTAGCAATACCTGCAGATGTTTTGTTTGTCACAAGGAGGGTGTGTTACTGGCATGTAGGGTAGAGGCCACAGATGCTGCCCAAAATCCTACAATGCACAGGACAGCCCCCCCCATAAGAGAAAATTATCTGGCCCTAGATATCAAGAGTGCCAAGGCTGAGGGGCACCTGGGTGGCTCAGTCAGTTGAGTTGCCGACTTCAGCTCAGGTCATGATCTCATGGTTCGTGAGGTCGAGCCCCACATCAGGTTCTGGGCTGATAGCTCAGGGCCTGGAGCCTGCTTTGGAATCTGTGTCTCTCCCCCTCTCCCGCTCACACTCTATTTCTCTCTCTCTCAAAAGTAAATAAACATTAAAAAAAAATTTTTTTTAATAAACAAATAAAGTAAAAAAAGAGTGCCAAGGCTGAGAAATCCCAACCTATTCCCTTTAAGCTGTTTGAATTTTTTACTGTGTTTAAATTTTTTGTATGAGGCTATTCCAGCAGTGTAGGTGAAAGGTAACTGGAGCCTGAACTAAAGAAAACAAAAAGTGACATGAATCTCTACCAAGCATCCACTGTCCCCCTCTGCAAGGTGAGCCAAGGCCCTGACCACAGCATGAGGAGGTTCTCACCATCTCGAAGAGGACGGCGGCGGTCACTGCCATCCAGTGGAGCTTGATCTCGAAGGCCGCATTCAGGGAGAAGTTGCCATGATAGTAACAGCTGCACCACTCTAGCCGGTCTGTGCGGTTGTTCACATCCACGTCCAGGGTCACAGTCCTTTGCTCCGGGACAGTGGCAGCTATGTCAGAGCATTGGAGGGGTCCCAAGAGAGAGAGGGGAAAGAAGGAGCGGGATGAAGAGGAAGAACAAAATGCAGAATTACCTAACAGAAAATCACAGATTCTAGAAGCTTCCTGAAAATCATCTAGTCTGGGGGTCGGCCAGCTTTTTCCATAAAGGGACAGATAATATTTTAGGCTTCACAGGCTATGTGGTCCCTGTTTCAGCTACTCAACTCTGTCATCATAGTGCACAGCAGGCAGAGATGTTATGTAAATGAATAGGTTGGGCTGTGTTCCAGTAAAACTTTATTTACAAAAATCAGAAGGATTTTTTTTTTTAGGGCAGTGAAACTATTCTGTATGATACTACAATGGTGGATACCTGTCATTACATATCTGTCTAAACCCGAGATGTACACACCAAGAGTGAACTCTAATGGAAACTTTGGGTGGTGGCATGTTAACGTAGGTTCAATTTTAACAAATGCCCTGTTCTGGAGCAGGGCATTGATAGCGCGTGTGTTGGGGCAGGAAGTATATGAAAACTCTGTACTTTCTACTCAATTTTGCTGTGAGCCAAAAAGTGCTCTAAAAATAAAAATTATTATACAACAAACAAACAGATGGTAGTCCAGATTTGGCTGGTTAATAATGCCACAGTTTGCCTCCCCCAGTCTGATCCAACTCCTTCACTTACAGATGAGGAAGTAGTAGTAGCCCATGGAAGGGAAATGCCTTGCCCAAGACCAGAGTCAGAGCTTCAGCTTCAGGCTGAACTCCAGATCTTCTCATTCCAGTGACCCACAGAAGGACACAATGGGACAGACAGCACAGACCACAGTGAGGAGGAAGTCTTGATTTTCTGGTTTCAACCCAGGAAGGCAATAGTTCTACAATATGTTCTCAAGAAATGAAACCTCATAATGAAGCTCAACACCCTGTTCCATTGACTGTGTTGCTTTCAGATCCCAGGTCGGTTTCAGACTAGCTCATCCTGTCTGGAACTCCTGCTCAGAAATCATACTCAAACCCAAGATAGGGATGTTTTAGAGATGGATCAATCAAGCTCCTGACCAGACTAATAGCACTAAACAGGCTCAGAAGTAATGAAAAGACCAGGGCTCTGCTCTGCCTAACTGGGCAGTGCTAGACCTAGGGTTTCTACAAACCGTTATCAGC